CAAACCTAGAGCTCTGATACCATGTTTTGTAATGGTAGAATACTGATATGATTCATTCTATTGCCAATTGGCATATTTATACAGTAAGCTGCTGCAATAAATAGAAAGAAAGAAAAATAGAAAGAAGAAAAAATAGAAAGAAGAGAAAATAGAAAGTACAAAAATAGAAAGAAAGAAATAGAAAGAAAAATTTTCTAAATCAATTCTTCCACAATCCTAGGAATATATACAATTTTATTTTCAGATCTGAACCAGTAACCCCACGTTTTCCAACAGATTGCAATAATGATAGCACTAGTAATATCAGATATATAAATATCTGATCACAGTTGTCAAGGCAATGCCTAGGTGACAAAGGCACCCTTTGAGGCTCGCATTGCCTAATTGCCAAGCAGTTTTCTAATTCCTACTATAAAATACTTTTTTATTTGTTATTTTTTGAGATTATAATTATAAAATAGACATTATTAAACTAAAAAAATCATTTTGTGTGTTTATATACTAATTTCCTTTTATTATTTTCTTATTTATTAGGGTTTAATCAACACAAACATTGCTAAATATTCATCAAAAAAAAAAGAAAAAACACAAACATTGCTAGATGCTGTACTGAACCCTCAAAGACTTAAAAATTTTATCTAATCAGCACATTTTCCTCTTCCATATATTCTTCTTCTACTTCTTCTTCTTCTACTACTACTACTACTACTACCATCATTTAACAAGATGCCAATGGGTCAGGTTTGGTACGGATTTTGCGTCCTCCCTATCCCAACTATCCAATGTTTCCACCTGTACCCAAGAAAATTTTGTAACTTGGTAGTTTCTGAACCTGCCCCGACCTTATATGTTCAACCCAACGCAGGCTGCAGCCTTTCAATTGTATTTTTTTATTACACATTTAAAAATCTAGAAGCCATTAACTTCAGTTGGAATTTGGCTTATTACTTATGTGTTCTAAGGTGTCAGTTCATAGTGAAAGAAGAGAAATCAGAATAAATATGAAAAGAAATCCTAAATTTTAAGGCTATGGAGATAGAAGCCATACAAAATTACATGAATATCCTATATTTATATGTATATATGTAGGGGTATCATGATACGGTGGGGTGGGTCAGCAAAACCCAAACCCGACTTCCGTTAAAGAATCGGAACTCTAATCTGACTCTACACCAGAATAAACATGGCCCTAACCTGACCATAGGTTGGGTTTAGTGGTTTACCATTTAACCTGATCCAGCCCATTGGCATCCCTAGGTGCTGTCAATATCTTCCACTGTCGTCAGAGAAGCACAGCAGGGAGATCTCAAGATGAGTGATTTCAAGCTCTAGGGTTCAAAATAGATTATGAAGGGGCAATTTCTGTCATTTTGGAGGATTTTGGGTTTACTTTAGACATTGGCCCATGTTTGAAATGTGTCTGGCCACATACCGTACCTGGGCCATGTCTTAACAAATAACAAATCAGCTCTTTTTTTTTGCTTGCAGATGGTGAAATCAGATAAAAACACAAACAGCCCTGGTGGTCTGAAAAGCAAGTTCTTTAGACTTCAGACGCTGGTTCACTGGAATCAAATGCCACCTAAGTGATGTTCTGATTGGTGTCACGTCATACCACTTGATGCACACTTAAATGGTATGACATTAAATTCTGTAATATTTGGCGTGGTCTGATACTCAAAGAACTGGTATGTGAGGGGAATGCTTCAAAGATGCATACCACACTGACGTCATTACCATATTGTCTTTTGGGCTTACCTGGAAACTTGGACATTTGCAACGATGAACTTGGCTATCAAAAAGTTTGAAGCCAAAATCGTATCTTACCACAAAATGCAACTACATAACATGTATCATCTTCAGCTGAAATCTTACCATATATAAGCAATCTGAGTTGGGATAAGTGCGAGGTAGAGTTTGCAGGATCTAGTTAGTATTGGTGACAAGCTCTCGACATCTTGGTTACTATTGGATAATAATCTATTTTTGTTTCTCTTATCCGCATGTATTCTATTTCTATAATCGTTATGATGATCTCGTCATCTTCATGTGCTACACTGGATGTTTTATATAATCCATTGTTGGTTCTTTTACACTTGTGCATTCTATGATTTTATTGTTCTTCTGAAACTACCAGGCTGATAATTTACGGCAACAAACACTGCAACAAATGCATCGAATATTGACAACACGCCAATCAGCTCGTGCTCTCCTTGCCATAAATGATTATTTTTCCAGGCTTCGTGCGCTTAGCTCTCTCTGGCTTGCCCGCCCACGGGAGTGAGAACCCACCCATGAATCCCATATGATATCAATCTGGAAGGTATACTAATCTTGCCGATGGAGGGTCATGAAGCTGTAAATCTGGGTGTTCAGGCATGCAATACTAACAGCCATAAGCCATTTAATCTTTGGGTAGCTCTCTGTTTGCAGTTGTTGGGACTTGGGGCATAAAGATCTTCCAATTGGAATACAAGGTCCCAATCCTCTCACATGTAACAGTCGTCATATTGGTTGCTCAGGTGTATGTTGTATGTTGATTTCTTAACTGGAACAGTACTGGCAATAATCTGTCAATGGCATTTGCAATCAAGATTTACAAACTTTTTTCAGGCCAACCATTTCTCCTGGGCATGAAATACTTTGTTGGGGTGAGTGAGAACCCACCCATGTTTTAATTTTTAAAGGGTGGTTCTGTGAGTGAGCGTTAGTTGTGTACCATGATAGATAGATGATTGAAATATACTCTTTGTTGTATGTGATTTGACGCTCTCTGGCCATTGTGAATGATATTTTTATGTGTAGTGTGTGGCCGAGTTTCCCAGTTCCCATTGTTGTGGTTGATGAGGAACACTTCAGCCGTTAAGCGGGCTGTGGAACCAATGAGAAGGTTTCACGCCAGTATTAAATACATGAGGCCTGCATCTTTTATAATGGGGCCTAGGAATTTATTACTGGCGTGGAACTTCATCATTTGCATTTGTCGAATTCGGATTAGCTGAACTCTTTAGCTGTTCAGCGGGCTGCTCCACTGTAAAAAATGTGAGTCCCATATATTTAAATACTCGCGTGGAATCTTATCATTGCTTCCAGTTCTACAGCCTGCAGAACAGTTAAAGCGTTGCTCCCATTTGCCCCCTTACTGAATGCAATGCAGGAACATTCTCAAACTTAACCGTAAGCAACTTTATTCATCTAATGAATCATCAATTGGAATTGTAATCGTTAAATGGCTTTTTCTAGAGCCAAAAGCGGCTGTACATGTTTTAGTGGCCGTTTGGGAAGGCTTTCAGGATGTGGCATTGGCCTTTTGAACTGGGCCCTACATGGGAATGCCAGAAGCTGTGAAAATTCGAAAAGCCCATTTCTGTGTTCCAGAAGCCAGAAACACAGCTGAAATAGCAAGTTTTTCCAAGTAATTTCTCCAATACATGGATATTCAACCACCACGGCTGAATCACCACATCTACCTCCAACGCAGAAACCCTCCCAAATGGGACATTAGTGCATATTCGTGTATGATTTTGCATGCGTTATAAATAGGGCTGTCAACGGGTTGGTGCTGGGTCAGAATCAGATAGAACCGGTCCCGGAACCGATTGGAGAACTTGTGGACCCAGAACTGGCCCAGACTCTGTAAGGTCTGTAATTCTGGACCCAGAATCGAACCGATAAGTTTTTGTGACAATCGGGTCTAACCCGAAGGGCCCGATTTTGATATGTATGCTAATAATACTCTTGCTAAAAATGCAATGAAACCCATGTAAAAACCTAAAATACAATGAAAACCCTACTAGAAAAACCTGCTAAAAAGGAAACTGATAAAAAACAATAATAATTGACAAAAACAATATATATATATATATTTGGACCTCACCATGCCATAAAAGAAAAAATGAAAACATTTTTAAAGCTGAAAAATGAAATTGGAGAGTGGATAGAGGGGCAAGAAAATATCAAATCTATTATAGAAAGCCACTTTAAAATTTATACTTCTTCATGTCATATAGATATTGAGATGACTTTGCAAGGTGTCCAATCGGTAATAAATGAGGAGAACAAGGAAAACCTTGAAAAGGTTGTCTCAATAGAAGAGATTAAGGAACTATTGTTCCAAATGGCTCCTAGGAAAGCCCTGGGACTGGATGGCTTCCCAAATCTCAACTTTTTGGGAGATAGTGAAGGAGGATGTGGTAAGGGATGCAAGAATGTTCTTTAACTCAGGAGAGATGAGTAGAAGTCTTAACTCAACTTTTATAGCCCTAATCCCTAAAATTAAAAGTCCAGAAAATGCACTTCATTTCAGGCCAATTAGTCCCTGTAATACTGCTTACAAGATAATTGCAAAAATTTTAGTAAACAGAATGAAACCAATTCTGAATGATATCATCTCAGAAAACCAAAGTGCTTTTATCTCAGGAAGAGCCATTTTTGATAACATCTTAATTGCTCGTAAAGAAATGCATTATATGACTCGTACAAAAGCAAAAAATGGCTTCATGGCAATTAAGGTGGATATGAGCAAAGCTTTTGATAGAGTTGAATGGGATTTTCTGAAGCTAACCATGGAGAAAATGGGCTTTGGTGGTAAATTTATTTCTTGGGTCATGAATTGTGTATCCACAGTTACTTACCAACTCTTAATAAAAGGCTTTCCTTCAAAGAGAATCTACCCTCAAAGAGGATTAAGACAAGGGGATCCCCTGTCCCCTTACCTGTTCCTCTTGTGCTCAGAGGTCTTCTCATCCATTATTAAACAAAAAGTGGCCCAAAAAGAACTTCGGAATTAAAATCTGCAAACTAGCTCAAACAGTAACTCACTTGTTTTTTGTAGATGACAGTTATTTTTTCTCGAAAGAAAATTTTAAGGAAGTTAGTGCTGTGCTGGAAGCCATCTCCCTTTTTGAAAGAGCCTTCGGACAATAGGTGAATTATCAAAAATCTGAAGTTTTCTATAGCAATAACATGCACCCCAAACTGAAAAAGATGATTTCAAATGTGCTTAAAATTAAAAAAAGTAGATAAGCCATCTATTTATTTGGGATCTTATCCTCTTGTTAGTAGGAAAAAGAACCAAATTTCTACTATCTCAAGAAGGAAAGGAAGTCCTTATGAAGTCTGTCCTGACTGCAATCCCAACCTACTGTATGTCTTGTTTCCTATTCCCACAGAGCATCTATAATTCATTAACAAAAAGCCAAAAAACTTTCTAGTGGGGAGACAAAGAGGATAAGAGAAAGATAAGATACTGGAAACAAATTTGTAAAAGCAAATCAAATGGGGGGTTAGGTGTTAGAGATCCTAGAGCCTTTAATCTTGCTTTGCTTTCAAAGCTAGCATGGAGCCTTTGCACCAACTCTACAAGCTTGTGGGTAAGAGTGTTGAAAGCGAAATATTACCCCGAGCATCACTTCACCCTTGCAAAGCTAAGGAGCCAACCCTCATGGGGATGGAGGAGTATCTTGAAAGGAAGGAAAATATTAGAAAGAGGCATTTGCTGAAAAGCGGGTAGTGGAACCAGTATAAAAATTTGGGATGATCCGTGGATTCCAGACATAAATGGCTTCAAATTAATGGGCCCAAGGAAAAAAAATAGTGAGAACCTTTGAGTGACTGACCTAATCAATCAAGATAATAGAAGCTGGAAAATTGAAATGATAAACTCCATTATTCCTCCTGCTTTTGCACAAAAAGTCATAGATTTGGAGATTCCATCTAATCCCTGGGATGATAAATTAATTTGGTTAGGTAGTAAAAATGAAAAATTCTCAGTAAGATCAATTTACTTCCTAGCTAAACAAATGCAAGAAGAAAGATTAGAAAATAATGTAGATCCCACACAAAATAAAAAATTTTGGAATCTTATATGGAGCCTCCTAACTGAACCAAAAATCAAACAATTCATATGGAGATGCTGTGTTAATGGATTAGCAGTCAAAGAAAATCTTTCCAAAAGAGGATTAGGAGATTCTAGTATTTGTGAAAGATGTAGAAAAGACCTTGAATCAATACTATATGCTTTGCTACCGTGTGACAAATCAAGACGTATTTGGCTTGGATCAGTCTGTGGTATTAACCCAAATTGCGAGCAAAACTTTCCGGTTTTCAAAGATTGGTTAATGCACATTTTCCTCCAATTAGGGAAGACTCAATTGAACAAATTAGCAGATATTGCTCTAGTATTGTGGGGCATCTGAAAAAACAGAAATGTTTTTTATTATTTTGAAAAAGAAAATCTAAATCCTCTTCTAGTTATCTCATACATTTGCAGGTCAATAGTGGAGAGATATTGTCTCTGGCAACAGAGATTTGAAGGCTCTTCCAAGACTAGCCAGGACAAGAACTTTTTTTTTGGATCCCATCAACTCAAGGCCATATTATCCCCACTGTAGTTAACTGGGTGACAGGAAGCAATATCCTGTCTCAAGTCCAAAGGCGAATAAGGGTGTTGATCTTCCCAAATCCCAAGTGGGTAAGGTTGATCCTGAGGACAAAACTGGGTTCTCAAAAAATTAAAAGTGTTATGTAATATCACATCCAAATCATATATAATATATATAATTTTGAAACTTTACAGGTATTTTAAGTAATTATTCAAAAAAACAATTCAAGTTTTCAGATTCCCAATGGAAACCCGATCAAAGATGTTCATTTTTCTCACCGACTGCGGTCAGAGGGATGAAAAATGAAGATGCAACTATATGAGATGTGTGCCCGACCTTAGTGCTGTCTATCACATGAATTTAATATTTTTGTCATGGGATTTGAATTAATCTGTGCCCGACCTTCCACTAATTACCACCTTTTCAGTCTTTCTTTTAAGCCCACCTACCTTCCATGATGTCATGAACCACTCAGTCCCCAATTCATCTGTTTTATGAACACCCTAGCTAGGGAAACGAGTATTCTGCAATACATTTTTTGCTGATGTATGACATAGTAGGACATATCATAATGCTTCTTAACATCTTTTTAGGCAGTGATAAAACCACTAAAGTGTGTCCTATGCTAGTGAAATGATTCTTGTTATGTTTGGAAAAAATGAAAGTATTTCTAATCAATCATGGTCTGTTTGGTTGTCAAAAAACAATGGGATGAGAAGGGATGGGATGGGAAAGGATGAGATGAGAAAGGAAAATTTATTTTCACATTTTTGGTATCCTATGTTTGTTTGTTGAGACCTATTATCCTACAAAATCTGTTTCTCCGATGTTTGGTTGATGAGAAAATTTTGTAGGAAGAGGTAGACGCCGGAATCCAGATCTAGAGCTCAAACATTAAAATGAATGAAAATGGCTGTCAACATGGAAGAACGACACCTCTAATAGTAGATTTACCATTTTTCTGTGAATGGAAACTGGTTTGGAAGACCAGGGATGGTGGTAGGGGTAGACACTGGATCTGGAAGAGGTAGATGCAAAAAAACCGCTAGATCCGAGTTCATTTTAATGTTTAATGCTAATAAAACCGCCAAATCTAGAAGAGGTAGACGCTGGAAGCCAAATCTGGAGCTTATGCGTCAAAATGAATGGAAATGGCTGTTGACATGGAAGAACGACACCTCTAACAGTAGATCTACCATTTTTTTCTGTGAATGGAAAGTGGTTTGGAAGACTAGAGATGGTGGTAGACGAAGGTGAGATTTGAAGGGGGTTTCATTCAATGAAAGAAGACAAATATGGTACAAATATGGGTGGAAATAGCAAGAGGATGCCAAATCTAAGCTTACCTTTCGAAAAAATACCAGAGATAGTGCTGGTGAGATGATCGTTGGACGGCGTCTAAGAAGA